AACCACGAAGTTCCTGATTTGAACTGAAGTTCTGCCGTTAATCATCAACGATGATGAGTATATTGTTTACACTACAATATTATTATCATTCATATTTATCAGTACAACAGAAAATGAATAAATAATCAAAAAAAAAAGAAGCAGAATACATTGACAAGAAGAAAATTTTTTTTTTTGTTTCTATATAAACATAAGATAAGTGAAACACGAAATTGCAAAGCAGATTTTGAGATTAATAATCAAAAGCAATACAGTGTTTTTTTCTTGACTAAAAATCAAATTACAGTTTGATACCCTTAATATTTCAGTTAAAGCACTGGAGAAGAACAAATAATTATTGAGAAATTAGGTTTAACCTACAGCTTGAATACAGTCACCAATATCAAACAGACATCGATAAAAGATGAAAATTTCTTGATTAATTCTTATTCTTTTATTTTACACTTAATGATGCTAACTACAGTGCAGTTTTTAAACTAATTTTAGTTTTGTACAAAAAGTATCTATCTTTTTTCTCATTCTTTATTCATCTACATTCTTTTTTCTTTGTTTAAGCAACATTAATGAGAACAAAGCAGTTTGAATAACGAACATTAACAATACAGAAATTAAGACCCGACTACCAAATTTTTTTTGCTATAAATTCCCAGTAGCCTATAAATTTTGTTCATATCATTAGCAGTATTGATGGTAAAGGAACATTTTAAATTACAATAACAGTAACAACAGCATATTTGCATGTAAGCAAACAAATTGGTCAGTTTAAAAAGAAATAATAAAAAAGTTTAAATAGTTTTTCAAAAAATTAACTAATGACTGATAAACGGTTTTACCTGTACAGAAAGCTACAGACACTTTTCTTAAAAATTCACTACACTTTTGGATAAGAATGATATTGCTGATTTCTCAATTAGCGTCTGCTATCCAAATAAAGTCAAAGATTTTATTTTTTTTTAACCCGCTGGCAAAAGTAATATTGTTCAAAAATACAAACATTTTACAGGTTTTGGTAAATACCAAAAAGCGTAGTTTCACTTTCCTACTAAGATATATAAATCACTGTCATCAAGCCGCTAGCCAATTATGATGTATTGTTTTACAAAAATAAAAAGAAAATAAAACAAAATAAACTTGACCTTAAATTGCTAAATTAGTCTACTTCAAAAAGCTTAATCTTATTGTCATGATATGTTATAAATATTAGAAAGCATTATATACAAGCAAAAGTTTCTTATAAACCGAAATAACTGAGCAGTACCGAGATTAAAAGAAGCAAAAGAGAAGCATTAGAAGTGTTTGAAGACTTCGATAACGAGGAGAATGACAAATGCTTCTCGCTTCGAGGTTCTTGATACCGTCGCTCCTGCACAGGTGCAGAATAAACCCTAGGTGGTTCATAAAACTCAAATGGATCTTCATAGTTTAGCGGCCGTACAGAAAGCCGATGATTGTAAGTTGTAAGAAGATCAAGAATAACACCATTTGTAAAGCCAAATCCATCCTGAAAGATTTTAAAGATTTTCAAACAGCCGAATGCAGATGTTCGTTAAATTTAGCAGAACTATGAAAATTTGGATTTATCAACAAAGTTGATACCAAACAGAACGAATTAAAAGTTTACCTGCACGGCGTACTCGCCACCAGCTCCAGGACTTGAATACAGTCCAATGACATTGTACTAAAATTTAAACAAATCATTACAGAATTGTAAACTGTAAATTATAAATATTTAGCATCAAGAAGATTCAGCGGTCAAAAGTTAAAAAAAATTCCTTTGAAACCAACACTTTACTAAAGAGCTAAAATAGTGCTCAAACAATGCAGTTTACCTTTTCCCACATGTAACCAGTCTTCCGGAATACTCTATAATTGCTCATTATCCACTTGTGGGCAATACGAAAAGCCTTCAAATAGACAAATCCATTTACTGCTCAAACTGATAAAGCTATTTCTGCAGTGCAGAACAACTATTTTATGCAGTATATAAAAGATCAAACATGAAATTATATATATAATTGAATAGTGCTACCTGATCTTGCATTTCTGGATTCTCAGATTTTCGTAATCCTTCAATGACCATAAAGTTTAGCGGACCAAAACCGTTGGGAAAGTCCCACTGTTCAAGACTTTTTCGGTCTAAACTAGTTGGTACTCCGCCTGGGTAAGAAAATGCTCCAACTCTCTGAAAGTGTCCTGCTTCCAGAAGCATTTTTTTAAAATTAATTCAACTATAACAGTGGTTGATCCCGAAACGGCATTTTTCATCTAACATCCAAAAATTTACCGTCATAGCGACAGAACTTATGCAGCATAACAGAAAACTTCTTCACTTACTTCCATCAACTTGAAAAGTCGTGCTGATTTTTGCTGGTTCAGCGAGTGATAACATCCCGTGTACAGAGGTGCAGCAATTGATAGGTAGAATCTTGTATTATGTTGCTTAGTTCTCATATTGTAGTCAAACCAAGCCCCTAGAGTACGGTTGTAGAATACATTGTGCATAGCATTTCTAAAGTTTGTTCTCATGTCACGATAGGTTTCCGAAACCGCTCTATCACCTGTAAATTCAGCAGAATAAAAAATATATTTAAAATTTTGTAAACGGGTCGACGAATATCACTGTCACTGAAAAACCAGTTATGAAATTCAGCATCTGCAGCAAATACTCTGCTTTTTTCTCCTTTTAAGTCAGTACAACAATCAGTGAAATCTTTGTTTTTATTCTGGTTCTAACTGTTGATGAAATGCTCATTACCTATTTTTTCGTTCAAATACTCCAGAATATCCATATTCCAGCACATAAATGCATTTAGGTCAACAGGTAAAATTTTGGTGGTTTCTAGAGACGATAATGTATTCCTTTCCCTAAACCACCGAGTGCTAAAATCCCAACCACTTTCTGCTGCACTAGCGAGATCCTTAAAAAGAAACGTTTATGCACAACCAATTTTGATAGATTAAAGTACATTGTTATGAATTATAAGTGAAGTAGTTCAATGCTTTTCGCTTTACCTGCCACAATTTTGGTTTATTTTCAACTTCATGAGCTGTCAAAATATCTTCTCGAAAAGATTCTGCTCTTGGGACATTGCTTTTAGTTCGGTATTGATATACAATGTATCGTTGCTTATTTTTCATAGTAACATTGACTGTTCTGTAATTTTTAACTGTTATTTTGAAAGAACTATCAACAACATTAAAATGTTAAACGAGTCCAGAAATTTTGGGTTTACTGAAATACTTTTTCAAACTGTTTAAGCTGTTCTAAATTGTGAACTGTTTCAGAATCACTTTTCTGCGTTAATTGTTTCCTCCCGTTCAAAGATGAAAAATTTTGTTTCATGATTGTTTTGAAAAGGTATTGTTTCCCTATTAGTAGATGGAACAAACAGGTTCAGGCAGGTCTTGATGTTGTGACCAATTTTTAAGGCTACCATAGAACTAATCAATGTAAGCATACATGTAAAACTTTGGTTTAATTTTACCTATGTTTTTGCCAAAAGTCAAATTCTTTCTTCAAGGTTGGCATTATTGATCTGACAAAGTTGATGTCTTGTGTACTTTCGAAATACTCATACACCATCGGTATCAACATTGGTGGTTGTGATCTTTGTAAATAATAAATTCGTCCACCATTTGGTACAAAACCGTATCTAAAAACCAAAAAAAAAGTCAAGAAAAATGGAACTTTTTT